TCTGCTGAAGACATGGGCCTGATAAAAGGGTGCATGTTGGGGAACTGCTCTGTCAGCCGGATGGCCTCAAGCTCTCATGGTCCACCTTTCCTCTGATGGCCAAATAAAATCCCTCAAGCCCTGTCCCACATATTCCTGAGGATTTCCAGGGGGCTTTCATTCTCCTGGCCACCTCTGGCTTCCAAATTCTGCTCTTCTGGCTTCTTGCATCACTTCCCACATCAGCTGTCTTTACTCAGTCTTGACTGCTTTTTACCCCCAGGTGGTCACTGCATGTATCTGTCAGTATGAGCTAGATTATGCTGCAATTACAAACAGCCCTCAAATTTTAAGCCCTGGCTTAAAATAAGAAAGATTGCTTTCTCCCTCACTCTGTGTGTCAATTGTGGGTTCTGCTCCACAGCATTCTCGGTAAGAGTCAGGGACACAGGCTGATAGGGCTCCCATTGTCAGGAAATTTGCCAGTCCCATGGCAGGGAGGGAGCATGGCAAGTGATGCAACTCCTCTGCCCACATTTTGTTGAACAAAGCAAGTCACTTGACCATGCCCAACTTCAGGGGACTGGGAAATGCAGCCCTGCCATGTCCCAGGAGGAGAACCAGAGTGTCTGTGAAAGCCCTACTAACACCCAGCTGTGGCTCCTCCTTCAGTCCCCAAGTTCTCAGCACAGGCTGTTGGATGGACCAGCCTTTCCAAAAGGTTTGGATATAATAGAGGGGGTTTCCTCCCTACTACTGAAACCGAAAACAGCTTAAAGATGAATAGAAGACATCCCTGCCCTCCTGTCACTCAGCCTTTCATGCTGTGAGGATTTCTCATTGACCTACTCTCCTCACACTGACCTCTCTCTGCACACTCCCAAATTCCATCTTGCTGGTGCTGCCATTCATAATCTCTATCTACCAAGACCCTCACCCTGCATCCAGTGATGTGCTGGAGCCGGCTCATACCAGATTGCAAGAGCCAGTTGTTAGATTTTCAAGAGTTTTGCAAGCTTGTTATTCAATCTTTGGTAGCTTAAAATGGGAATGTTTACACCATTGAAATAGACAAGTGCTACCGCTCAGAGTTTTTCTTTCAGAGAGCTAGTTGTTATTCATTTACCAATATACCCTTGTCTACACCTTTTTTCAGGACCAGCTACATACTTTGCTGGGCCCAGTGCAAAATGAAAATGCAGGGCTCTTCAGAATTTCAAGGCAGTGACCACAGAGCCTTAAACCCAGTGTTGGGCCCTTCGAAGTGTGGGGCTGTGCACAGCTCACACATCCAGGACACCAGCCCTGTCTACTCCTTTTATATCTCCACGCTTGGAGCCCTCATCTCCAGCCATCTCTCCCTAGAGGTAACAGGAGATCATGCCCCAACAAAAGTCAGCACAAAACTTGTTAAGCAAAACTATCCAGCTCTGTCTTGGTCTCTTCTCTTCCATCTAAACAGCCCTGTTGGGCCTCATCTCTCATAATCAAAAAGCTCCAAGGACCGTCTAAAAGAAAGGGAGCATATTCCCCTGAGAAGAGTCCTCCCCTCCTCTAGAATGATCAGTTTGGCACCATTTCATTGTTTCAGTAGCCATATTTTCCCCATTTATGATTGGAAGTGAGTTGGGAGAGCTCAGGCAGCCCTAAAGGTCAGGGTGGGAGTTTAGAGGTGGTTGAGTTGTTTCACTGGCTGGGAACACTCAGAACCCTGGAAGGTTGACTGCAAGAACCTGCAGAGATCTTTAGTTCAGGGTGGAAAGTAAAACTGTAGCCGTGGAATCAGGTTTGCAAACCAGCTTTGACATGGAACCCCACTCTATAGAATAGGTCAGCGAGGAGACTGCTCTGGGGGACATAGGAGAGGGTGGCCTTGAACCCTCCCCACACAGCCCCTCCTCATGGCCCAGCCTCCACGCCTTGAGTCCTGCTTCCCATGTCTCCTCCTGCCACACCCACCCCTGCTGCCCTGCACTCAACACCCTGTCCTACCCTGTGCCTTTTTTCACACCATCCCCTCTGCTCCAATTCCCTCTGTCCCATAGCCCACCTGTTGGAATCGTATTTGTCCTTCAAAACCCCTTCTGGGTAGCCCTTGTCGCCTCCATAGTGAGACCCTCCTACTGCAATAGGTGCATACCTCTGTTCTGGCCTTGCCTTGTTGGAGTGTAAGTTACCTCTGGGGTATCTGACCCCTTCTGAGGCTGGAAGCTCCTCCAGGGAAAGGTTCTTATCCACCTCCAGCTGTGTCTCACCCGTGCCCAGCATGGTGCCCCCCACAGAGGCCCCGTCAGGACATGCTCACAGGGTTGGCACAAAGGGGGACAGAGGTGGGCACCTGTCATGCTTGGATGAGGCCAGAGGGAATCGAGAAGGAAGGAGAGAGAACTGAGCTGTGGGGCAGCTGTTTGAAAAGCAAGAAGTATAGAGATCTTTATCAAAATGTTGGCTGCTAACAAAAAAGAACAAAACCTGGATTCTTTCCTCCGTCAATTACTGCACTGACTAAATGCATTCTGGATTAAAAGAACTGTCTCCAGAGCGGGGAGTGGGGTGGGGCAGGAGCCAATGAGCAGTGCCCCTAAGGGGTGTGACAAACGAGCATTTGCCGCTGATGGGCCAAGAAAGCCAGCCTGTTGGGTAGCGAGTGGCAGGGCCCAGCCAAGATGCCAGGCCTTGAGTCAGGGTGGGCAGCCAGAGCTGTACTTTAGCCGGCAAGTGGGGGTATGAGCCTAAGTCCCAATTCGCCATGGCCATCGCCGACAAGGCTCAGCTGAGCAGGCCCTGGACGTCAGCCAAGCCAACCAGGATCCAAAGCAACTGCATCCCCGGAAGGGACCTGCAGGATTGGAGAAAGGCTGCCTTTGTGAGCTCTCCGGGGCTGGGGCTCCTGCCGCCATCCCAACACTGGCTTGTAGTAGGGATGGACCATGGCCTAAGACTTCTACGGGGTCTTCTGGAGGCTCACAGCTCTCCAGAGCTTTGTCCACCTGGCCTGACCCTTAAATAAAGACTCCAGGACTGGCGGTGTTGGCTGTGCATGGAGCAGAGCCCCCAACCTGACTGTGCCTGCTTTTTGCCCTGGTCCCTGGGGAGTAATGTCCTGGAATGCCTCTCTGAGAAGAGTGCCATGAGTTTTACATATAGACTACTTACACACACACACAGCCCACCATCCTAAAGAGAAGAGGGGAGCACATGCAAATCCCAGAACTGGCAGAGAAAGCAGACTGGCATGGAGGTGATAGGATCAGGACAGTGAGGGTGCTGACTGGGCATCTGGGTGTCTCTGAGCTCTCCACGAGCCTGCATGTGTGTGTGTCTGTGTCCAGCCCTTAGCCCTTTAGAGTTCAGATCAAAGAATCCACCCTTATTTCATGTGCAGAGATTCTCAGAGAATCAAAAAAAAGAAAAGCCTGCACGGGCCCTGAATATTTCTCCACTAGGTATTTCCATCCACTCTTCAAGGATAGGCCAGGGAAATTTTAACAACCCGGGAGTGCAGAGCCCATAACTGTCCCATTTTGCTTTCAAAGTGCTCCGTTCACTCAATTGTGAGAGCCCATTCATTTTGCAGGTTGGCAAGTGGCCTTGAGGGGACAAAGTGACATGCTCTAAAGAGGGCGCAGAGCTGACTCTGTGGCATGTTTCTAGATTTCCTGAGCTACGGTCTTTAGATGTGTGGGGCTTAGTGGCTGCAGTGTTTTCCTGCACTTGAGGCTTTTGTAGCTGCTCTTGCTCTGAGTCCTTTTGAATTCACTTAGATATGGAGCCAGCAAGTATGTGTTGAGCGCCCGGCCCACACTAGGCCCTGGAGGACATTGATGAATGAGAAGCTGCAGTCCTTCCCCCACGGAGCCCACAGCAAAGGTGGGAGAGTGGACAGGACACACCAGCAGCTTAAGAGGATAGTCCCAGTGCAGTGGGAGCCCTGGGCAAGGGTGCCAAGCAGACTCGGGGGTGGTGGGAAGGAGCCCTACACGGAGGATGCACCCCATTTGTCCACTTGAGGAGACCCTGGCCACAGTGTGGCTTAGGTACCCCTCCTCCTGGGCCTTCCCCTTGGTTTTGTTCTTGCAGCTGTGCCAACCTCTCTGATCCTCAGATCAGGCAAATGGAGATTTTTTAGAGCAGCTCAAATGTTCGTTCCAAAGGCGGTCCCATTTTCTAGGCCAGCACTTTCCAGGTTGTACTCCCAAGAGGGCTCCAGATCAGAGAAGAGCTTCGGGGCAGCCCAGGGAGGGGCAGCCAAGCCAGCAGGGCTTAACCCCAGCCATCTGCTTTTATCTGATTGTATACGGGGGTTCCAGCACGGTTTTGTTTGAAGAAATAAAGGGACTATCCAAGTGTCTGTCAGTGGTTGAATGGATAGCAAAATATGGTGTATACATATGGTGGAATATTACTCAGCCTGAAAAAGGAAGGAAATTCTAACATAGGCCGCAATCCGGATGATTATGCCAGTGAAGTAAGCCAGTCACAAGAGGAGAAATCCTGTATGATTCTATTTAGATAAGGTGTCTCAAGTAGTCAGATCCATAGACAGATAGGAGAAGGGCGGCTGCCAGGGGCTGTGGAGGGGGAGATGGGGTGTTATTGTTTACTGGGTAGAGTTTCTGTTTGAGAAGATGAGAAAGTTCTGGAGATGGATGCTGGTTGGTGGTGATGGTTGCACAACAATGGGAATGTACTTAATGCCACTCAACTATACACTTAAAACTGGTTAACATAAATTTTGTTATGTATATTTTACAATAAAAAATCAGAAATAAAGGGACTGATGGTTTGGGGAGTAGGGAGGAGAATCATAGATTTAGGCCAAAGCTCCCAGATTACAGGAGGAGTGAATGTAGCCCAGGGAGTCCGGAGAGTAGAAGGACCTTGCCCAAGGTCACTTGGAGCAGGAGCCCAGCTGCCCAGAACCCAGGTGGATGGGTTCCCAGGTGAGTGCTCACTCATAGCTGTGTGGCTCAACGACCTCACGTGACCCTCTCAGCAGCTGATCTGTGTCTCTCTTGCAGACACATCCCTGCTCAAGGACAGTGAGCGCATCCAGTCCACACAGACTGTTACCTCTGACGACGAAGACAGTGACATCAAGAAAATTAAGAAGATCTGCACCATTCCTCTGGGCTGGCACAAATGTCCCTTCCCAGCCCTCTTGAGAGAGCCTCCTACGACAGCCCAGTGTTGGCAGTGTCTACCTCCTGTCCCACGGCCGCCAGGGCATGCTACCTCCCACCTCAGCTCCAAAGACAGAACTGACAGCTTATTACTCCTGAACAGCACCTTGTCAAGGCATTTCTTCTGGTTGTCCTTGTGCAGTAGGGGGTTCAGCCGCATTGTATAGATGAGAAAAATGAGACTCCAGGAGAGGAGGCAGTCGACAGAGGCAGGACGAGAACCCAGGCCATGAGACTCGCAGCTGAGAGCTCTCCTCAACGCCAGGCAGCCTCAGTAAGACCCCAGAGGCACCTCTCCACTGTCACTCCCGTGCATGCCCCCCGACCCAGAGGAAGTCATGCAAACACTTCCTCTCACAATTGCCCCCTTTAGTCCCCAGCAGACCTCAGCATGGGAACCCAGCCTTATAAGACCCCATAGGTGGCCCCACTGGTTCTGCCTTGTTAGAGTCCAGAAGAGGCAGACGTCTCAGAAGGTACTGGGGATCTGCCCAGTGGCCGGGTCCTGACCGGCAGTGTGGGCCACCTCGTGGGGGTTGTGGAGGGAGAGAACATGGTTTGTGTTTGCAGCTTGCCAGACTTGAAGCAGGGGAGCCTGACTCGCCCCAAGAAAACCAGGGAAAACTGCTTGTTTCCTACTCGTTGCGAGGGCAAGAGAACCGCAGTGCCATTCAAACCAGAAAGTGCAGACTGGCGCCCACAGGCAAGTTCAGCCTACCCGTGTGTTCAGGATTTTTAGCCTACACGATGTTTTGGTTTTTTTCTTTTTTAATTTGTTGCCAGTGCTTTAAAAGCTAAATATTTCATATAAATCTGGATTTCTGATTTCTTAAAAATAGAAATAGCTAACATTCATTATGCATGTTCTTTGTGCCAGATACTATTCTAGGAGCTTCATGCAGATTAATTTGTTCCTAACTAAAAATCCTCTGAGGTTTCGTTATTATCTGCATTTCACATATGAGGAAGCTGAGGTGCGGAGAGGCAAAGTGACTTACCCAGATCACACAGCTAAGTATTTGCAGAGTGACATTTAAACCCTGGCCGCCAAGCTCAGAGCCCACATCCTTGGTCACTGGGACACACTGCCTTCTGGAAGAGCAGGAGGTCCTGCAGCCCTGGGCCCACCTCCTACACGTGGTGACAGTTGGCAAGGAGGTGTTGCCCCATTAGTCCCCACCCATCTGGTTTCATGCATCTCTAGGACCTGCCAGGCCCCCATAGGCACTAGGATTTGCCACCAGATCTGAACCAAGCCCCCCAGGCAGGAGTGCCCTGGCTTACCTTCTCTGCTATGGTCCCACTGGACTTCCCGGTCCATTTTGAGAAGGCATTCTGGTTGGAACATTTTGTTGAGTACCAGCTGAAACCCCTGAGATCCACCTCCTTCCCTCCATTTTCACCCTCGTGGAGCCTCAGAGGAAGCCCTTTTCTCATCAAGAAAGACTTCCTATCTTCAAAGAGAGCAGTTGGGGCTCAGGTCTGACCTCCCCTCTCCAGGGCAAACACCCCCAGAAGGCAGAGCTGCACCCAGATGGCTGCACCGCCGTTCATGGCCAGTGCCCCTTGCAGCTGATAAGATTTTGATGAGCACCTCTACCTGGTCCCTCAGCAGGTGACCCCTGGATCCCCAGTCCACCCACCCTAGCACCACCCAGTACTCTTACTCCAGGCGCCCCGGGTCCCTCCCTATGGGGACCCTGAGCTTGCACGCAGCTCAGCAGCAGGAATGGCAGGGAGCTGGGTGGCATCTTGATTGGAAGCACATGCGTCTTAAAACAGTTATCTCTGTGTGTGTGAATCAAGGCCCTTTCCCAAGTTCTTGCCAAAACAAGGCCACACACGCCAAGCAGCCCAACTCCGAAACAAGTCAAGCGTTAGTGTTCATTTCCCCATGGAGGCGGGAGGAGAGGCTCTAGGCAGGCGCTGGTACTCAGAGGTGCCGATGAGGCCCAAGCATGAGCTTAACTAATTTGCCATGTTCTCTTCAATTTGATAATCACCCTCTGTCCAGCGAGCTGTAATTGAGACTTCTGGGCTTTCAGGCCAGTCATTAGATGAGATGAGGTGTGAGATGCGCCCTGCACAGCCTGGCCACTCTCTAGCTTCAAGCCACTTCTCATTATGGAGACCTGGGGCCACACTTTTCCTCCTTCAGAGAATGCTTCTAAAGCAACCTGGGGATCTTGTTAAAATGCAGAGGTCTGGGGCGGGGCCTGGGACTCGGCATTTCTAACAGGCTCTCAGGAGATGCTGAGGCTACCAGTCCATGGACCACACTTTGAGTCCAGCTGTCGTCCAGATGTCGGTGCATATATCTCTTCAAATTAGTGTTTTAGTGTTCTCTGGATAGCTACCCAGAAGTCAAATAGCTGGATCATATGGTAGTTCTATTTTTAATTTTTTGAGGAATCTCCATAATGTTTTCCATAGTGGCTGCACCAATTTAAATTCCCACCAGCAGGATACAAGGGTTCCCTTTTCTCCACATCTTCTCCAATACTTATTTCTTGTGTTTTTTAATTATAGCCATTCTGATGAGTGTGAGGTGATATCTCTTTAGGATTTTGATTTGCATTTCCCTAATAATTAGTGATGTTGAACATCTTTTCATGTGCCTATTGGCCATCCGTATATCTTTGTTGGAAAAATGTTCAGATCTTCTACCCATTTTTTAACTAGGTTGTTTGTCTTTTGTTGTTGAATTATATGTTTTTTATTTATTTTAGAAATTAATCCCGTATCAGATATATGATTTGCAAATATCTTCTCCCAGTTGTTTGGTTGTCTTTTCATTTGTTGATGGTATCCTTTGCTGTGCAAAAACTTTTCAGTTTGATGTAGTACCACTTGTTTATTTTTTCTTTTGTTTCTCTTGACTGAGGAGACATATTCAAAAAGATACTGCTGAGACAGATGTCGAAGAGCGTACTATGTAGTGTATTTTCTTCCAGGAGTTTTATGGTTTCAGGTCTTACATTCAAGTCTTTAATCCATTTTGAGTTAATTCTTGTGTGTGGTGTAAGATAGCGGTCTACTTTCATTCTTTTGCATGTGGCTGTCTAGTTTTCCCAGCACCATTTATTGAAGACTTTGCTTTCCCCGTTGTATGTTCTTGGCTCTTTTGTCAAAGATGAGCTAACCAGTACATCACCTTAATTATAATCATTGTTGGGATTTTAGTGCACTTCCTTCCTTGTTATTTTCCTGCATATGTTTTAACATGGCTGTAACCTTATAGTACGAATCAGTACCTACAATTGTGAAACTTGCTTTCTTCACCTAATTATTTTACAACCATTTCCCATATTATTATAAAGTTGTCATTATTAAAAAACAGATGTGCTGATTAAATAAAATTGGACAAGAAAATGTAGAGGAATGATCTCTCTGGTATCCATCACTCAAACACAGCCCGAATATTTTACCTTTTTTACTCAATGTCACATCAAGAAAATTCTTCCATGCTGTTATATCTTTAAAAATTAACATTTTAAGAAGGAAATCCTGTCATGTACTACAGTGTGGATGAACCTTAAAGATAATATACTGTGTGAAATATGCTAGACACAAAAAAGAAGTACTTCAGGATTCCACTTACGTGAGGAGTCTACAGTTGTCAAACTCTTAGAAACAGAAAGTTCTGTTGTTGAAGATGCCTTGAGAGTTTGAATAAAATTGCTTTAAAAATATATAAAATGTAAAAATAGTGATATTTTAAAATTAATGTGTTGTTATATATATCTGTGGACCTAATAAAGTTTATATATTCAACTTGACCAAACTTCTTTTAGGGAATTTTCTCCTTAAGGAGAAAGAGGATCACTTTTATTCATCACTATATTCAGATGTTTATTGTGTTAACCACTGCGCTTTGCTGAAACCAAATGTCAACCCAGGATAGAGGTTTTCCTCAAGTCTTGAGTGCAACACCGTTTCCAACAGTTGCTTTGGTGGAAATGATTAGAAGAGCACCTTACTGGGGACAGTGGTTCCAAAACTCGCTGCCTCTATCAGCAGGAGAGGACTGTCCTGGGGGTGGCATTTGTGCCCAGGTGGAGAGAAAGTGAAACTGAGGGTGGGAAACAGTTCGTGTAGCTGGAGCCCCGTGAGCCCCCCACCCAGAGGATAAAATGGGGGAAATGGATGGCTTGACAGCCACTGATTTCCCATCGCTTCCAATTGTAGAAACGCTCAGTGGGAAGGGGCCTTATCGACCACCTGCTTTAGCCACCTGTGGATTCTTAACATCTCTGATGGTCCAGCCAAGAGGTGATTCATGCTTTTTTGATAGTTCCAGTAATAAGAAAGAGACTTTGACACAAAAGAGTCACGTATCCCAATTTTTGCACAACAGTCTCTGGAATGTTTGGAGTAAATAATTTTTCTACAGTAGGTGACTTTAAGAGTTTTCATTTGTAAAGATAATATTTTTGGAAAATGCCAGTGAGATTTTGTTCTTATTTTATTCTATCTAAGGTCGAGAAATATTTTCTAAATTCTATTTATGTTTTGGTTTGAAACATGATTTATGTCAAAACTTGCGTGTGGTATTTAGAGTGTAACTTGAAATATCTCATGATTTTTATAATTTTTACTACAAATAGTATAAAAATCCCTACGTATATCTTATTTGGTGACCTGGAACTAGTTGAAATATAGGTGCTCCATAAACCATCTTAACTACTGATGTCTTGCTTTTGCGAAGCATGAAATAGTTCAGTTTACTGACTGATTGTTATGTCACTGGGGAGAAATGAAGTCTCACTGTGTGTTTTATTGCATCTAGTCAGTGAGCTCAGCAATAAACTAAATAATGCTTTAATGAGAAAAGAGATGGCCTGATGCTTCCCCTGTGGGAATGAGAGTAAAGAACTCTGGGCTGTGATCCCATCCAAACACCGGACTGGCTCTGAGGACCAGGATAGACTCTTCACCTCCCTGCGCCTGAATTTCCTTACACGCAAATAGATCAAGAGAGTGACTTTAACCAAAGTAGAGTGAGAAACAGCATTGCCTCCTGCTTTGAGACTTAGGTAAATGCTGATATATTAAAAATCCCACAGTATTTTCGTACTTTTTGAGACTTCTTCGTGTTGGGGAGGAGGATGCAGACACTGTGGATGTCGGAAGGCTCAGGGTGGCCTCGCAGAGGTGGCCCTGTGTGGCAGTGGAAGCAGTGTGTTTTCCACGGTCACCTGGTCCACCAGTCCTTGGCAGGAGGAGGAGCTGTGTTCTGGGCCTTGTCTCCTAGGTGCATGTCCGCTGGCCCACTGTACAGGCACACTCACCACAAGTGGTCCGTGAGGCTAAGCGGGGGCTCTTCCTGCAGAGAGGTTTCATTCCCTTTGTGCTCAGAAGTGCCGCCTGGGTTACTTTCCTCCTGTTCAGCACATGAGCCCTCTTGGATGGAACAAACTGGATGATAACTTACTTTGCCTCATTCATATTTGCAGGAACAAGATAGGTTTGTTTCGTTTGTTTTCGTCTTTTGAGGAGGAAGGATGCACTTTGTTGCTGTCTGTCGTGCTCTCCTGTCAGTCCATAGAGGCACGTAGGGAGACAGCAGAGGTGGAGCCCTCGCTGACAATCCGCAGCGCCTGTCCTCCAGGCAGGGTCCTGGGGCGAGGGACAAGGTATTGGATATGCCTGGCAATTTAATACATTCTCCCCACATTCCATGCTGCATTTTACAGAGAGGAGGCAGGACCAAACTTCTGTTTAAACAGTTAGATCGTATGCTGGGTCAAGGAGGATGTATCGGAAATCTCAGCACCAGAGAGTGATTCTTTTAGGAGGTGTCATTGCACAATATAGAACCAGAAGTGTTTACACTGTTGATAGAAATAATAATAATAATTATAATAGTAATAACAGACTCTCAAGGTTCACAGAGTACCTTCTTGACATGTCTCATGTAACCTTCACAACAACCATGTGAGGAAGATACGACTGTTCTCCCTGTATTGCAAGTGAGGACTCTAGGGGGTGATTTTAATCAGAATATTTTGAACTATCCTTGGTCTAACATGGTGAATATATTGTGTTATTTTTCTATGAGAAAGGCAATGTCTAATTTTTTCAAAAACTTGATCAACACAGAGGTCAGGTGAATCTCCCAGTATGACTTTGGTGTAAGTGAAGAAATAGCAACGAGTTCTTAGTCTTTTCAAACAAGTCTACTGCAATTTAGGGAAACTGTCTGGAATTCATTTTATTTTAAGTTGGTTACTTGAGTTTCCTCCTCAAGAAAGTGGGTCTGAGCTGCACCATTTTCTCTGTATCAACTCTGTAAAATCATTTCTGGATTGTGAATATCTACTTTGCTGATCTCCAGCTGAGAAGCGAAGGGACTTATGCTTGATGGTGGTGATTCAACGTCTTTGGATTCATATGTGCCGTGTCTGTGAGTTTGCTAGACCTGCTGTAGCAAAATACCGCAAACAGTGGCTGAAACGGCAGAAATGTATCATCTCACAGTTCTAGAGATTAAAAGTACAAAGTCAGGGTGTTGGCAGTGCTGCTTCCTTCTGGTGGCTGTGAGGGAAGGATCTGTTCCAGGCCTTTCTCCTTGGTTTGTAGATGATTGTCTTCATGTTCATGGTGTTGTCCCTGTGTGCATGTCTCTGTGTCCAAATTTCCCCTTTTATAAGGACACCAGTCATATTGGATTAGGGTCCACCCTAATGACTTCATTTTAACTTGATTACCTCTGTAGATACCCTCTCTCCAAGTACGTCACATCTGAGGTACTGAGGCTAGGACTCCAACATATGAATTTTGGGAAGACACAACTTAACCCATGACTCTCTCTCTCTCTGTATATATACACATTATATATACATAGTCTAGAGTGTGGTTCAGTATTTGATATATTTCTGTTATATCTTAAAGGCATTTTAATATGCGGATTTAAATAATCATTGAGCCATCATTGCATAACATTTCTAGAAAGTAGTTTTTTCATCCTGTCTTACTTCTTGCCTCAAAAAGGTAACTAGCTTGTCCTGCACCAGAAATAATAGAACCACCTCTTATCCTCCCCTCTTCCAACTCCTGTTCCCAGATTCCCAGAAGTGGAATTCTACCCTACTCTTCTTGTTTCTCTTTTTAGCGGAATCCAAATAAAGCTTGAAGTTCAGTGAATAATAAAGTATCAATATTGCTCACTAGTTGTGACAATGAACCAACTTTAGTTGGACCATCCTCATGTAAGCAACAGGGGGAAACTGGTGGGGGTGTATGGGAACTCTGTACTGTCTTTGCAACTTTTCCGTAAATCACAAACTATTCTAAAATAAAAGGATTATTTAAATAGTAATAAAACCTTTGTAATAAAAAATAGTGTCTGGTGTAATTAACCAGTTCATCAATGTTATAATTGTACTGTTTTTATGCCATTGCTTATACATCTTTTTCTACAGAAGAACGGATTAGATGTGGCCTCTAGAGGACAGTGTTGCGTCATAGAAATATTTTCACAATCTGCCCAAGTTGGAGATGGACTTACCTATTTTTCCTCTTACTTTTAAATGACAAAGGCCTCTGCTTATTCATCATCCCTCTTTGAAAAAAAAAAATAAAAATTTATGCCTCTTCTGCTATCCTGATTAGTTGGAGATCTGCTTTAAGTCACTATTTCTGTGCAGTTTGGGCTCCACACAGATCTAACAGGCCAGAATGATCTGCAGTTTTCACCCTACTGTTCAGAGCGCTGAGGGCTCATGGGAGTTGTGCAGGAGCCGGGGGAGCATCATGGGGCACATATTCTGTGTTTGCGAATTCTCATGTGATGGAGAGAGTGCTGTAGAGTTGAACTCCCTGTGGAAAAGTAAAAGCAGTTTGTAGATCAATGAGGGTGCTCATGAAATAAAGAGGGGTTTTGATCTTTCAGGATAGAGACTCTTTGCTCGATAGTGGTTTATTGGGGGTGGGGAGAAAGAGACGCAAACCCTTGTTCTACCTTCTGGAGCAAATTTCTGGAGTAATCAGAACAGAAGCTCAACACTTTAATTTAAAAATTATCCCTCCAAAGGTAGTCTCCTGAGATTGACATTTTGTTTTTAAGAGGCTCCTGGGGGTTGGGAGTTACAGAGTGCTACCCAAACACACCAGAGCCATATGAACATTAATTTGCAAAATGCTCGCCTTGGACCTAGAGGCAGCTGAAGACAATTGTTCAAGTATTGATGGGCTCAGAAATTCTGAAACACATCATTCTGTCATCAGATGGATGACTTTGCTGCTGATACTGGAGTCCAAGGGCTCTACTCATTCTAGGTGAGAATCTCATATAACCATTAAAAAATAGTTGTCATTTGGATGACAGTGTGCTGCACTTAGCAGCAACCTAAGATTTCTTATTTTTTTGCTCAAAGAATAAATCTGTTAAAAGCTCCTTTGTTGAATTGGGATCTATGAGCCTTTTAATAGGATTTTTGAAAGGGAGTGGAAAATTTACAGCTCCTGGTAAATAGCCTGACATGAAGTTAAGATTAATAGTATTTTCTTCAGCCACACCATCAAAGTTGAACCTACGGGCAGGAGTCTTTCTCATTCTCATCAAACAGTGCTAGGAACCAAAAATTCTCTTTCTCAGGTGTAGTATTCTCTTAATCAGTGGTGATATAACACAGTTCTATGGACCATCCAGGTATTTAATAAGTATTACAATGATTTGATATGTTCTTTGATCCTTGATAGAATGGTTGGTCCCCTAACCTGGTCCTTTATCCAGTGGCTCTGATCTCAGGGAGAAGCATCACTCCATCCCATTTGTGCAAGTCACAATCCTGGCAGTTGTCCTGGACTCCTCTCTTTTTCCTCATCCTTGTCCATACTAGATGCAGCACTGGGTCCTAATGATTTTACTTCTTAAATGTTTCTTGAAACCATCCACTTCTCTGCATGGCCACCACTCTATCCCAAGCCCTTATCATATGTGCTTAGACCACTGCAGAAGCCACCTCCCCACAGCCAGTGTGATCTTTCAGACACATCTATGAGACCTCCAGTGATCTGCCGCTGGTGTTAGGATAACGACCAAAGGCAGTTTCATGGACGGTAAGTCCCTGCATTGTCTGGTCCCCGTCTCTCTCTCCAGTCTCATCTGGAGACATTCTCCTCCCTGTTCCACGTGTTCCAGCCTCCTGGCCTTCACTGCATGACGCAGGGTCTTAGTGCCTGTAATTTCCTCTCCCTGAGAGTCTCTCCCCTGCTTTTTCTAATTATCTTCTCTTCATCCTTTATACATCAGCTCAGCATGATGTCCTCATGACTGCCTTTCCTGATCTCCTGGCTAGATAAGTCTCCTTTCTTCTCTGCTGTGTAGACCCACGCTCCACTCCTTCTTTATGCTTTCATAGACATCATAGACACTTGGCTTTGTTGTTTTTTGATCGGTATATGTGTCCACTACAGAATATAAACGCTGTGAGCAGGGACCCTGCCCACATATGCTCATTGTCACATCCCCAGCACTCAGCACAGTGCTTGGAAAGCGTAGCTGCTCAAAACATTTGTTGAATGACTAAGTGGCTATTTTTTATTGAACGTTTAGGTAGAGGAAGAAGACCCCACTGGATACATTTGATTGAAAAATTTCTCCCAGTGATGACCGAAGTACTGCTGGAAAGAAGGTAAGAAAGTCAGTGCGATTGTTAAGGTACAGTAATGAGTAGAATTAAATTAATTTCAAACACTTGGCTTTTTCATTTTGTGTATTATACTCACCCAATATTTATCCTAGGACAGCTTCCTTCTAACTTCTCACTACACTTCTGAACTACCAGTTGGTAGGCACTGAGAAATATCAACCACTTTAGTGCTAATCTAATAAGCAAAGTGTAATTAAAGGGCAAAATAAGCTACAGAAAAGCATAAATAACAACATTCTTACTCTGTTTGGAATTACCAGTGATAAATAAGAATTATCCCTAATTATTTTTCTAGAGAAAGTGTAGCGTTAACTTAAGATATTTGGTTTATTGGAGGCATTTTGTTCCCAGAAAAATTCATTTCCATAACGCTGAGAAAAGCTAATAAATAACATCAAATATGCCAGTGGTTTTAAACTACGTACTTCCTGTGGGTGTGGAGTGCTTTCAACTTTCATATCTAGAAATCCAAAAATATTTCAGTGAGGGAAATATTATTATCTTGATGTGTTAGCAGCTTTTGTTTCATTTTATGTGATCATTTATTACGTGGAGACTGAGCTGAATACTGTGGCCTTTGCTCCTCTTATTGCATAATTAGGTAGAGACCAATTCCAGAAGATACTCTTCTTTGATCTTTTGAGGTGTATAATCTCCTGATTTTATACATATTTATATTTATACGAAAAATCCATCATGTAGGATTTTTTCATCAAACAAAAAATACATCTATCTTTTCTTTTCCCCTAAGTCTTAGATCCAGCTAAACATGGTCCTTTCTAAGGAAGAACTGATCAAGATATGACTGAAGAAGGTGAGAGCAATTTATTACTTATGACAGTGACTTAAGTGATTAACAATTTAACAACAATTATGCAAAAATTCTTGGGAATACTTTAAAGTCAATCATTCTGGTTAAAAAAAACTTATTTACTGTTCCTGTTTTGGTTTTGGGGTGGTTTCTGTTTTGTGGGGGGTAAGAGGACAAAGGGTAGGTTAAGAGGAGATGGATGTTGCCTTATAGGATTTTGTAAAGTGTAATGGTACTTCTGTAAACTGAAGTCATCCCATTCACTGAGAATATTTCCAGAATAAAAAGTATGCCGCCTGGAAAACACGAGCTGTCAATCACTGTAAGTCAATGCCTGTTACTAGACTGAAGATCTGAACTGTATAAAAATTCCTTTTTAAAGAGCTCTTCAGTTGGTGAAGTTACAGATAATACAGCCTCAACTGAATATGAATTCATGCAAGAATTTTTAGTTTTTTATGCTAATGGAACCATAGGTATTTGCTTTGAACTTGAACTACACACACACACACACACACACTTGTACATAATACCTGCACACCTACGTATGCCAACATATTTCCTTTAGGAATTCTCTCTGCTTAGGCCGATGTGTACTTTTGTTTTCCCTGAATGTCAGGAGGCTGATGGACGTTCTCTTGAAACCATTCTCTTACTGGTCACCTCCACTCCTCCCACACAAAGTTAGAGTTCTCTCTCCTTTGTTCAGTTTGCTGGTTCACAGATTGAGTCCTGAATGATTCAGAGTTGCTCATCACTTGAGGCAGAGTCAAAGTACAAGTAATTTTGAGTAGGGAAGACTAACCCTGCATTTCCATGCACAACTGGTTTGACCATTTGGACCCATCCACCATTGGGTGAGAAGACAGGAAATGAGAATAAGGTGACATGACAGTCACAGTTGCCACCCAAGAACTCTTATGACATTGTTAAATTCTCTTACGATTAACCTTGATGGAAATGTTAGGGCTTTCAGAGCATTACCTTCTTAATCCTAAGGGTTAATTTCAGGGAAGTAAATCCTAGATCATATTGGGCAATATGAATTTAGTCAAAATGTGCAAAATAGTTCAATATCATTAGTATGGTGTGCCTACTGTGTGTAGGCGGGGGTGCTAAGTGCAGGGAGGGGTAATGGCACGAAAATCTCCCTTTCTCAAGGATGTTATAGTCTTATTGGGGGAAAAAAACTGACTTATAAAACAATTCAAGATATAAGACGACAGAAGAAAGTGAGTTTCGGAAGATCAGTGTGGGCCAGACCAGCATGGAAAGATGGTCTGGGAAGACTTAAGGAGAAAATCAGTTTGTTAAGAAGGCGGAACTTCTGTGGATGAGCTGTTGAGAGCAGGGGTAAAATCTTAGGCATTGTAGCACCCCCACACATGGTAAGTCTCAACAAACATTTGTTGAATTAAGGAATGAATGAGTAGATGAATGAAGAGTGGGGAGGGGCCGATGAGAGGGAGACGCAGATTGACAAAACTTGTGAACAAAAACTAGGAGGTAGGAGGGAGCATACCATTTCGGGAGCCTGTGAGAAGGTGGGGCCCAGAGGGTCTTGCTGGCAAGCAATAGGAAGTGACTCTAGATAGAGGTCCTGGGACGAGATCGTGGAGGCCTGGGCTCAGGAGTTCCGAATTCATCCTGCGGGCAGTGGAGAAGCATGGTAGGGTTTTGAGCAGATGAGTCACCTGGTGCAAGAGGGATTGTGGGAAGGTTGGTGTGGTGCTGGTAGGTTTGTTAGATGAGTGAGAAAGAGGTTAGACCAGGGAGACCAGTTGAGAGGCTGTGTCAGCATTTTGAGGTCCCCTAATAAGGGCCTGATCTGGCAGTGGCAATGGGAATGAGAGAAGAGCTTGATGCAACAGGACTGTGTACAGCAGGATCCTCGGGTCACGATGAGTAACAGAGAGCAGGGACAGAGATGGGAGCTGAGTCCAGTCAGCAGGCTTTCACTGGGGTGATGAGTGTGACGGTAATGCTACTGACTGAAGTAGGGAAATCGGGGACGGGCTGCGGTGGATACAGAGACAGTGCAGCTTTTCACACCATCCCCAGAGTGTTCATCAGTTTGAGACCATGCATTCTAAATGCCCAGGATGTCATATGATGGACATAATCACCCTATGAGACAGGTAGTATTATTATAATCTCCATTTTACAGACAGGGAAACTGAGGCACAGAGGGGTTAGTGACTTGCCCAGGATCTTAAAGCTAATGAGACACCTTAGCGTTGGAACCCAGGGAGTCTGACTCCCAAGCTTGTGCTTTAATCATTAAGCTGTTTTCCTCCCGTCCTTAATCGAACACTGCATGTCTCTTCCTTGCCCAAGGAAGCAGTGGGACCACCTCCTGCATTGTACGGTGAGCAGGCCTTGTTCTGAGCAGTACTGTAGTCGTTGAGTTCGTGGACCTTGAGCTGGATGCTGGCGTTCAGATCCAGCTCTTCCACTCCTGGCTGGGGCAGGCTGCCTTGTCTCTTCGTGTGCTGGTGTCCTCAGCTGCAAGTGGGGGTAGCAGTGCTTACCCCCCTCAAGGTGGTTGGGAGGTTACCTTAGTTAACATGTGTGAAGCACTTAGATCAGTGCCTGGCACACAGTAGTTCTCGTCAGTGTTTGTTATCAGTGTTCTTTGAAGGACTTCCATGGTGCCCGTCAGAGTTCATGAGCAGAGGATTTATTGTTTAACCATCAGGTATAGGAAAGATTCAGAATTTGTCTGTCTGGGTATTTTGGCAGTCTTTCTTTTATTAGGATGTAAGCATGATTGCAGAAGAACGTGGCACATTGCCCTAGTTTGATAATACTATCATGATTGTCATCAAAATCCCTACTTGAATGATTTCTGTATTATTAACTGAATTCTAACTTAGAGTGTCTTGTTTGTAGAGGCAAGTGACTTCAGCTCATATGGGGGATATCAATCCTTGATAACTCACCTGCTGGGATAAGACTCTTTAGGGGGAAGATGGTGATTTGGATGTGTCTGTATTTTTTAAAAAATATTTTTTAACGGTTTTATTTTTTTCCTTTTTCTCCCCAAAGCCCCCCAATACATAGTTGTATATTCTTCGTTGTGGGTCCTTCTAGTTGTGGCATGTGGGACGCTGCCTCAGCGTGGTTTGATGAGCAGTGCCATGTCCGCGCCCAGGACACGAACCAACGAAACACTGGGCTGCCTGCAGTGGAGCGCGCGAACTTAACCACTCGGCCACGGGGCCAGCCCCTGTGTCTGTATTTTTTTTTTTTTTTAGATTGGCACCTGGGGTAACAACTGATGCCAATCTTTTTTTTTTCTGCTTTATCTCCCCAAACCCCCGATACACAGTTGTATATCTTAGTTGCAGGTCCTTCTAGTTGTGGGATGTGGGATGCCACCTCAACGTAGCCTGATGAGCGGTGCCATGTCCCCGCCCAGGATCCGAACCCTGGGCTGCCGCAGCAGAGCGCGCGAACTTAACCACTCGGCCACGGAGCCGGCCCCCCTGTGTCTGTATTTTTAATAGCAGGACAAAGATTTACTTCAGTGGTCAATGTCTTTGCAATATTCTTCCTGAGTTTGCTTCTCATCTTGGTAAAACCAGTATCCAAGATGGCCCTCAGCTGTCACCTGAATCAGACTGAAGCCCACAGATTTTCTGCCCAACTTTTGGTTGCATTTGACAGGAACACTGGGCCAAACTATAACAAAGAGGACTGTTTTGAAATGGTTGATGAATGGCATCTGTCACTGGGTTCAGCTGGCATCACTAAGCTGACCAGACCTGGTTAGGCAATATTCAGAGATGTAATCAATACAGTTTCAAGTCTCTGTGATCTGCTCTTCAGCGATTTTGCACAGCAACCATTTAATCCTGTCTTCATACCCTTATGAAATATAATGATGAGGCTCCCTATAAAACTAGGACCTCAGGTTAATTCTTTGACAACTTCAATGGTTTTAATTTAAATAAATAAACAACCTTACTCATGATGTCTTTGTCTTCTAGCGTTTGGGCTGAAATAATCGATTCTGTAGGTTGCTTGGGCTACAATATGTGCAAGTAGAATAAGTGCAGGATCTGCCAGGGCACAGCAGCGTGCTCTGTGACCCTCCGGACGGTCAGGACGTGCTGGCTCTGCAGCCCAGGGAGAGTAACTGGCAACACAGTGGGGGAGTGTGGGGCTCCACGGCGATTAAGCGGGCTAGTGGAGGAGAAAGGGAAACATCAGAAGATCGCAAATGATGGATTTCCCTTCTTGTCCCTCCCAGGTGAGCCTTTTTCTCAGGCGGAAATGGAAGAAATGTTGTCTGCTGCAGTTGATCCAGAATCGAATTCAGTTGATTACAAGGACTACGTAACAATGATGGTGGCAGATGAGACTTAAACACTTTAAAGACTTAATTTCCAATTGAAAGGATAATTTAAAAAATTGTCCTTGTTAATTTCACATTTTATCTTATCATTTCTACATATGATAACTAATGCTTTGTGACAGCTATTTCAATATATTTTGTTTTTTAAAGATGATCATAATAATTTAAAACTCTTTAAATATTTAAACTATTTAACATTTTAACTATTTAACATATAAAGATTTAAAACTATTTGAGCTGTTTAAAACATCAAATTAAAATTTATTTGTCTAGCCTCATGGAACGACAAATTGCTAATTTTTTTGAAACTATTCTTAAAACATTTTAACATTATTTATCTATTGTTAATTTTCTATAATAAAACTCAGATTACCTGCAAATTAATTAAGCTGACAAAATGAAGAATGATTAGAATGACCCAGGTTTGACATATGAAGATCTTGGGAGGGGGCAGAATGACCACAGATTGAAAATCAGTAGCAAAGTGATGAAAGCTTCTTTTTTAAACAACAACAGACTCTTCAGCAATCTGAACATTGAAGGAGAGTTATTGAAATGAATATTAATAATTAATTCCTTATGAGTGCCAGTAACAAATCTCCTTTGAGATTAACATACTGTAAACATTTGAATGTGCTGGCCCAGCATGTTACCTTGATGAAGTAGCTAAAGGAGTTGAGATGATTGAATCTGGAGAAGAGAAGACTGAATGGAAACTGATAATGTGAGGAAGTGGCATTGTCTTCTGGTCTTTAGAATTCTTACCTGTTCAGAATACCTGTCATGGGAACATTGTCCTGAAGACTGAGTAAGAATTTCAAGAAATGTCATGGTATGCAGGAGTTACAGCTGTTGAAAGTGCCGAATAGTTATCTGAGCACAAGGAATCCCAATGGAAAAAGACATGGGGACTTATAAGCAAAGGGGAAAATAAGGTAAAGGAAACAAATACCCTTCCATCACCTGGGTGTTCTTTCATACATGCATGCGCACATGTGCACGCACACACAGTGATCTTTATTTAAAGATGCTTCCCCACTGCATGTGTGTACATAAATACAAACATTTCATGTTGCTTGTGAGTCTTCCTCCTAGGCATGCAGTCTTGCCCCGCAAGAGAGGAAGCTGTTCCTCAAGAGACTGTCACTGTTCATTCCTTCATGAAACATGTACTGAGTATCATTACATAATGTGCGAGGAACTGGAGTTGCGAGGTGAATCTGTCTTAACTAATTGAGGTCACAGTTCAGTGAGGGAGGCCTGTGATCAGTCAGCAGCCGCAGTTCAGGCAGGGGCACATCTGGGTACTATGGAAGTGCATAAGAGGGGCAGCTGCCTCAGCCTGGGAGGAGCTTTCTGAGAGATGAAGATTCTAGTGAGTAGAGAAGGCTTCCCAGAACAGATGACGTCTGACTTAAAGACGAGTGGTTTACTAAGTGGGCAGCAGGACACAGGGTATTTCAGCAGGGGAGCAGTAAATACAAAAAGCCCAGAGGTGTCATGAAACATGGAGCAATCCAGGAATTTAGAGTAGTTCAAGATGTTTGGTGTTTAGGAGATTTGGGGGACATGGTGAGAGATGGAATTGGAGTGGCAGATATGAGCCATGTTGTTAAGGATGTTGGGCTAGGTGTACAGTTCAGGTTTTAATGTTAGGGTTTGGGCTTCTGAAGCTCATAGAGAAGGAAAGGTCATTTGTAAATAGCACAGAAAATAGACTGGAAGAGTCAAGACTAGAAGGAGGGAGACCAGGTGGTAGGCCATTTGGTTGGTGGGAGAAGATGAATTGGGAAAAGTCAAGCATGGGTCCCAGGTTTCTGGCTTGAACAATGGATGAATTATAGTGCCATTCATTCAGATAAGAAAGTCCAAGAAGCAAGTAGGGGTGGGTAGGGAAAACGATGAGTTTGGCTGTGGACATGTTGGAATTGAGGAGCTGGTGGGACACCCAGGGAGAGACATCCAATAATCATTTGACTCAATAGGAGGAAGATCTGGCTAGAGACAGATTTTGGTGTTCTCAGCATGTAAGTAGTAGTTATGCCTTGGAAAGAAAAGAGAGGAGAGTCAACAGAACCATGGGGAACATCAGCATTTAAGGGAGAGCAGAGGAAGAGGAGCCCACAAGAGACTGGGAAGGAGAAGCCTGAGAGGAGGGAAAGCAGGAGAGAAGCATCTTGGAAGCCATAGTAGAAAATCACAAGAAGGAGGCAGTAGGCAGCCATGTCATACGTCAGAGAGAGGTGAGATGAGGTCAAGTCAGAGAAAATTCCATTAGTTTTAGCAACAAAGAGTTCATTGATGATCTCTGTAGAAGCAGATTTGGTGAAGTGACAAGGTCAGTGTTCGGAGCACTGAGGAAGGGATAGATGTGAGAAAGTAGAGCACGGAGAACTGGTTATGGCAATGGAGAGAGACAGCAGGTTGCGGGAGTTACTTTTGGAAGATGGGACCATGCAAGCACGTTTATATTCGAAGGGCTGAGAGCCAGCAGAGAAGAAGTTGAAGGCCCTAAGGAGGTAGGAGGGGCCAGGTTCTAGAGCAAAAAGGAGGTTGGCTTTGGGGTGGGGTGGAACAACGAACCAGCGTATGTCATCCCTACCTAATGGCCTCTCTTTCCCTTTTGAGTGAGGAGGAAGATAGCAGGTGACAGAGCTTGAGGAGCATGGTAAAATTTGGAAATGCTTCTGGGACATGGGAGAAAGGTCAGGAAGAGCCTATGTAAGGATTTTCAAGAAATCCTGGAGGATTTTCTTCAGTAACCTAGGCTCAGGAGCAAAAATGGTGGGTTGTTGTCTTGATTCGGTGTTAAGGCTTTGTCATCCAGTGAGATGGAAGGAACAAAGGTTAAGGGAGTTGAGGAATCCACAAGAAAGCAGCTGTAATGATGGTCCGTGGTGTCCAAGTCTAGTCTATAGGATGGATACAGGTAGGAGGGGCTAACAGATTGAGAGAAAGGGGGCAGGGTCTCTGGACCTCTGAAAGGGCGAACAACTTGTGTAGTGGAAGCAAGGGATGATTCTTTCCTGCCACCCCTGAGTAATAATATGTTCTGCTTGAAATTTGACTTTATTCTATTCTAAGAGTGTCCTTTTATTCTCCTATGTTATTATTATAATTAGTAACAATAGCTAACATTTGCAGAGTGTTCACTCTGTGCCAGGCACTAAGTGCTTTACATATATTAGCTCATTTAATCCTCACAACCACCTAATGATGTGGTACTGTTATGTTACCCCCATTTCACAGAAGTGGTAACAAAGAAGTTACACAGCTATAATGGGTTGTATTTGTCAATTTTTGCTAGGTTATGTTGTGATAACAAACAACCCCGAACCTCAGTGGCATACTACAATGAAAGTTATTTTTTTTGTGCATGTTTTACATCACCTGGGGTCAGCTTGGCCTCTGCTTCATGTGTCTTCTTCGTTCAACTCACCTACATCATAAGTAGGGTGACCACATGTCCCGGTTTACATAGGGCAGTCCCAGCCTGCACTTGTTGTCCCAGCATAATTATTAATAGATCTCCCTTTCAGAAGTGTCCCAGTTTAGATAATTAATATGTGGTCGTCCATTCAAAAAATAATGAATGAAAATGATGGTGAGGAAGCATCACTTATGGAAGGTTTTATGAATAACCACAGAAGCTTAGTAATGGAAGGCACTTCTCCCTTCAGTAGTTTCCCAAGGTTATGCCAAGGTCAAATCCAAGTGGAGAACTGAAATGCTGCTCACACAGCATCGCATGTTAGAATCAACAGCCAGAGACGAGTATGAGCCACGTGCCCTTAGGCCAGTGCAGAGAAGTCTGAGAAAGGAGGCATGGTGACCCTCAGAGCCTTCACAGACAAGCAGCACACTGCAGCTGGGAAGGAGGGTGGCAGAGACATGAAATACCCTTGAAGATGGAAGCACACCCAAGGGCATATCATTCGCAGCAGCAGCTGGCACCAACATGCAGCGTTAGAGTGTATGCTGGTGCCTAATGCATAAACCCAGGCACAGGCTTGTTGGGAGCACACAAGACAGCTCTGAGTGACCTTCTAGAAGCCGGTTACCCTGCATAACCCTGGTCATGCGACAGAAATGTGGTCTGGTGAATTAGCCCCAGTCTCTTCAGAATCGAATGGTGACGTCATGTTCTCTTTCCGAGAAGAGGCTCCCCTCACAGAAGGATGCCTCAGGGTTGAGCAACCCCAAGTCTCACCTAGAATTCTTTCAAAAGTTCTGACTGATGTCAGACTTCACACCCTGTCTCAAGGAAGTCCTATCTCTTTAGTGGTCATAAGAGTTAGCTTTATGGAATATGATTTGTTTTTTGTCTTTAGCACAAATCCCATCTTTTTTTTTTTAAGGCCACCAAAAAGTGCAGCACAGTCTTCCCATAGAACTGTCATTTGTCTCCTAGGTGCAGAGTAAATGTATCATATTTGCAAAGGGAACATTTTTCTTTATACTCAAACCATTTCAATTCATATTTTCCCTCTCTCACTCACCTGCTTAGCCCTCAACATGCAATTTAAATCACAGTGGCATTTTCCTGGCGAGAGGAAGGCTTGCTCTCTTGTGCAGAAAGTCTGCTTATTCTTAGGACTCTGGCTTCTGCAGAGCCTGCTGTACCCACCAGCTCTGCTGAGCCCTGTGAAAGGCATCTCGTGCTCACTCTCGCCTGGGGAAGCAACATGTTACAGGGCCAAGAGCACAGGCCTTGGAATCCAGAGACCCTGTAGCTCTGAACCCAGCCTTATCTGTGACTCACTCTGGGCCAGGTGCATCCCTCCTGTGTACCTCTGTCTGGAAATAGCCCCATTCTAGTCCTTCCACCTTCCAGAAGCAGTGCATATTTAGTCCCCTTTGCATGCACCAAATGTCTATGTGCCAAATGCTGAGAGACAAAAAAGAATGTCCAAGCCAGCAGGCTAGTTAAGATGTTCACTGGCAGAATTACTGTCTCTGAAATGGGATGCGTTTAGGTCTTTCTCTCCTTCCTGATTTTCTTCCTTGCCCTTTCTAACTGCTTCCAGAGAAGAAAGTCCCTGTGTATATAGCCAATTCCTTGTGGAAGATCAATGTCACTACTTGTTAGAAATGCAGACACCTGGGTTCATTCCAGA